AATATTGACTACTCATCCAACAATTATTTATTAAGCATCCACTATGTCTCGGGGTCTGTATGTGCCATTCTTATTTTTTAATTTTTAATTAATTAATTTGTATTTTATGTGTATGGCTGTTTTTGCCTGCAGTAATGTAAGTGCACCTTGTTATGCAAAGCCTGTGGAGGCCAGAAGAGGGTGTCAGATCCCCGGGAACTGGAGTTACAGATGGTTGTTAGCCGCCGTGTGGGTGCTGGGAATTGAACTTGGGTTCTCTGCAAGAGCAGCCAATATTCTTAACCACTGAGCCATCTCTCCAGCCCCTTTTTATTTTATGTTTAATTTTTTTTTTCCATTTTTAAAAATTAGGAGGTAGCTGGGTGTGGTGGTGCACGCCTTTGCACTTGGGAGAAAGACTGTAGCTGAGATCTGGTGCTTATGAGGTGCCAGCTGTCTTTATTTCCCCAGTGCAAAGCTGTCTTTTAAAAAAAAATTTTATAAAAAAAAAAAAAAAAAAAAAAAAAAAAAAAAAAAAAAAAAAGGTAAAGAAAGCAGACTTGGCCTCCAAGCAAAAAATTATCTAAGAGCTTTGAAACTGTTTGAAATTAAAATATGAAAGTTTTGAAGTCAGAAGCTTGGAGATATGATTATTTCATTTGATCAAAGGAAAGTTTAAAAGCTTTTGGAATAATCTTACAATGACTCCCCTACTCACAGAAAATCCAAAACTTCTAGAAGTAGCTACAGAAAATAGGTGGAATGGCATGACCAAGAGCTACCACTTGGTGGCAGTGCTTGTCCAGAGATGAGGAGTCACACACCTAGGCTCTTAGAATAAGCTCAAGTAGTTCATAAACTTTCTGTAAGGAATTGTAGGAAAAATAGTAGGCTTTCTGAACTTTCATAAAAAGAAAAGGGAAGAGGTGGAGGTAAAACTTTTTGGGAGAGCACTTACTTACCTAGCATGTATTAGGTCCTGGTTTTCACTCACAGCAGAACAGAAACAAAACCCAAAAGGGTAAAAGGTATGATTTAGCCAATTATCTCTCTTCAAACTTTCTTAAACTTTTAGCATCTGTTTTCATTTGTGTCATGGAACAAACAGAAATAGAACACAAGAGTGGGTTGAGCATGCTAAGTTCTATTTTATTTCATGTACATGTAATCTTAGAGTTTATTTTTATGTGTATGGTGTGTATGAGAGAAGAGAGAGGAGAGAGAGGGGAGAGAGAGAGAGAGAGAGAGAGAGAGAGAGAGGCAAGTGTGCACACCCAGGTCAGAGGACAACTTTCACGGGTTGGTTTTCTCCTGCTATTGTGGGTTCTGGAGATAGAACTCAGGTCATCAAGCTTGTATAGTATGTGCCTTTACCTGCTAAGCCATGTAGCTGGCCCCGAATTTTTAAAAATATTTATTTTGTGTGACATATCAAGATCCAAAGTGTCTATCTTCTTTGAAAACTAGACAAGAGATGAAATAAAATTTTAGGCAGAAGTGTCATGGGGAAGCCAGAACAGGGAAAGGAGAGACTACAGGGTGGTGTTCTCTGTGAGCTCTGAAGTCACAAAGAACAGGTGTGACAGTGTGCTCCACCAATTACTAGCTTTTAAAATATTTGGTTTCCTCATCTGCCAAAATGGAGATCACCACATTCACCTTTCAGACTTACTCTGGATTAAATAAGATAACATTTATAAAATTCTGCCCATTGTTTTGTCACAAAGTACATAACTATAAAGGTTGGCCTTCCTAATGCTGGAGGAAGTGCTATAGATGTGTATTTAAGAACCATTGATATGGGGCTGGAAAGATGGCTCAGCGGTTAAGAGCACTGACTGCTCTTGCTAGAGGACCTGAGTTCGATTCCCAGCACACACATGGTGGCTACGAACCATCCAGCGGGAATCTGGCGCCCTCTTCTGATCGCAGCATTTCATGACACGGGTGCACTCACACGCAGACAATATACACATAACATAAATATAAGAAAACATTTTTTAAAAAGAACCATTGATGTATAAGTTAACAGTAAAAAAGAGTATAAGGTGGGCAGAAAAACCTAAAGATGGGATTCTTTTTGTTGTTATTTTTGAAATCCTGGAGGAGAGTGCTTTCAGATCTTAAGCATGCTAAGCAAGTGCTCAACCACTGAGCTCCACCCACAGCTCAAGATCCCCAGTGGTGAAGTGGGCTGAGATGTGGTGAAGAAATGAAGTGGGAGCTACTTTGAATTTGAACCCTCCTAAGGCTGGACATTTTGAGGAGGAGGCCGGTGTGTGTGTGTGGGGGGTGGTCACCAATCATCCTGATATATGTCTCTGAGGAGATTCCTGATGTGACGCTTACTGGGCACTGGACAGAGATGGTCACCATACCAGTGAACAGGGCCATAGAGGTGAAGACCGGTAACAAATACTCTGACTTCTTTCCCGGTGCCAGTTGATGTCTTTATTATAGCCTTGTAAAGGACTTTACATTATAAGCCTGACCCAACAGAAACCAGAGGGCAAGGGGGCTGGGCCAATAGAGTTCAGGGAGGGCAGTCTTGCCTACCCCATAAACCAGGACAAAGGACAGAGAATCGGCCCAGAGAGATAAAAAGATGATAATCCTGTGTAGGAGCAAAACTGGAATTAGAATGCTCTAGGATTACTACAGGGATGGATTTATGGAGAAAGCCTCCACTGGGGCCTCAGACTCCCTTGGGGAAGATTCAGGTAGAGACACCCCAGGGTGTCTGGGGTCCTCTTCCCTGTTCACTTCCCGCCTGGAACGCTCACTTCCCAAATTGTGCTTGGTACAAAGATGGGACGTCAAAGAACACCATTCCAAGATGCCTTCTTTCTTTTCAGGCCATAGCGCGGGACCGCTTTGCACCCGGGCACCCCCAGTCACCCCCAAAGCCACCCTCCAAGTGTGGTTAACAGCAACCCCGACCCGCCAAACCGATCCAAATTACATTCTTTGGCCCGGCCGGAGACGCTTCCTGATTGGCAGGCCGGGTGGGGGCGGGGCCTTGGCGGGAAGTCCTTCCCAGATTGGTGCAAATCATCGAGGGTGGGGCCTGCTCGGCGTCTGGGCGCGAAAGCTCGAACTCTGTTGTGGGGCTAGAGTCGGCGGGAGCCGCTGCCGACAAGTTGAGAGGGCCGGAGATAGGTTCAAGGAGCCGCGCACCGGGAAGGCCGGAGTCATGACCGGCGAGGTGGGTTCTGAGGTGAGTGCGGGTTCTCCCGCCCTGCGGAGGCCGCGTGCGGAGGGTCGGGGTGGGGTTGCGGTAGCTCCCCGTAGGGCCAGCTCTCCGGGTCCCGAGGACTACAATTCCCGGTGTGCACCGCTCCAAGACCCCCCTCGCCTGGGTACGGTGGCCAGAGACCTCGCGTGGGTCCTCTCCCGGCTTCCCCGCGCTCGATCCCGGTAGCGCCGGTGCTCCAGGCTTAGCGGCGTGAGCTCCTGGCGCCCCAGCCTGGTCCTCAGTTTGTCTCTGTAGCCCGCCTTCCCCTTTGGCGGGTTTCCTGCCGCGCAAGCTCCTTTCACAGCATCCTCCACCCAAAGAGGAGGCTCTAGTCGACCTGGACTAGGAGTTGCCGGGCAGGATTCTCTGTAAAACGAGGATGAGGATGCTAAGACGTTGGAAATGGTCCCAGAAGGGACTGAGGGTCCCGCGCGCCGGCCCACATTTCGCCAACGAGGTTTCGAGTTGGGGGCGTTTTGCTGCCCTCGTGGAATTCACTGGTGGAATTTGGCCATAGAAAACTGTTTATCAAAGATCTGTGTTCTTTTCAGGAGGCAGCTAGGGCAAGATATTCGCCTTGGGAACTTTTAACAAAAACCTCGTGAAATGAAAAACATATTTTGACGTTAAAGAAAGTTTCCGTGATTAGATATTGAACAAAATATCAGACTTAAATTAAAAGGCAAGATGTAATTCTACTATTGCTATAGATGGAAAAAAAAAAAAAAAAAAAAAAGCCCTGGTTTCAGTAAAACTTGCGAAAGCTGGTGGCTGACCTCATATGCCATATTTTGCTGACTTATTTTCTAATGACAGTTTTCTAATGGTAGAATCTCATATAGTCCAGGGTCACCTAAGACTGGAAGTAGCTGAAGATGACCTTGAACTTCTGATCCTTCTGCCTCTCCCTCCTAGATTGCTGGGATTACAGGCATGCACTACCATTCCTGGTTGTATGTCAGTGCTGGGGATTGAACACGGGACTTCGTGCATATTAGTCATAGCCCTAGCTGTTTTCTTTATTTTAAAAACGGTCTATTTTAAAATTTATTTTATTCTTGTTTCTGTGTATGTCTTGTGTGTGAATGCTAAGTGTGCCAGTGCCTGTGGAGGCCAAAGAAGGGCATAGCATCCCTTGGAGCTGGATTTACAGGCAGCCCTGTCTTAAAATAAGTTTTAAAAAAAGAAAAGCGCTTGGGTCATAATTCAGCAGTAGAGAGTGCCTTCCATAAGAGATCCTAGGTTTAATCCCCAATACCACACTTGCAAAAAAAGAAATTTTCAAGTATGCACAGATACAGAAAGGTTGGTGTGAACCATCATGTAAATTTTGACTATTATCAAACCCTGACCAATCTTGTTTTGTTTCTGCTCATACCCTGGCTAGATTATTTGTAAGAAAATCTCAGAAGTCCTGTTTCATCTGCAGATGTTTTAGTGCATTTCTAAAGGAAAGCTGCTTCTAAAAAGGATAACCATGATATTATTACCACACCTAGAAAACATCTAATCTGTGTTTAGATTTTTTTTTTAATTTTTTTATTTTTATTTTATGTGTATGAGTGTATTACCTGCATGTATGTGAGTGCACCCGTGTTGTGCAATGCCGCAGAGGTCAGAAGAGGGCTTTGGAGTCCCCTGGATCTGCAGTCAAAGATGGTTCGTAGCCTCCATGTGGGTGCTGGGAATCAAACCCGGGTCCTCTGCAAGAGCAGTCAGTGCTCTTAACTGCTGAGCCATCTCTCTAGCCCGTGTTTAGATTTCTGTAACTCACGTACGTTGTCAGTTGTTTGAGTCAAGATTGAAAGTATAGTGTGTATCCAGCATATTCTTTCCTTAATTTATAGTTCCCCCCCCGCCTCTCTTTTTTTTCCTTGTAAGTTTATTGCTTTAGAAGCCACACAATTTGTTCTGTTGAGTTCTACACACCTGGGATGCATCTATGTAGTGTTGTTTAACATGCTCCTTTGTCCCGTTTCTTTTTTTCTTTTAATTATGTGTATGCGTATATTGCCTGCATGTAGGTAAGTGCACCCATGTGGTGCAATGCCTACGGAGGTCAGAAGAGGCTGTCGGATCCTCTGGAACTGGAGTTATGGACAGTTTTTAGCTGCCATGGGGGTGCTGGGATTCGAATCTAGGTCTTCTGTAAGAACAACCAATGTTCTTAACCGCTGAACCATCTCTCCAGACCCCTTGGTCTGTTTCTTGTAAATGGGTAGTTATAGCTAGAGATTCAGATCTGAGTGTTCAGACAAGAATGCTGGGTAGATGGCATTGGGCACTTCCCTTAGGGTATTCATGCTTGCTTGTTTCTCTTTTGGTAATGCCAGTAGCCATTCATAACTAGGTTTGTTGTATGAGACTTGGTGCAAATTTGTTAGTCTAACTCCATCATTTCTTTTTTAAAAATTTTTATTTGTTCATTTTTATTTCATGTGTTTGAATGTTTTGCCTGTGTGTACCACCTGCATGCAATGCCTCACAGACCAGAAGAGGACATCAGATCCCCTGGAACTGGATTTAGACATGGTTGTTAGCCTCCATGTAGGTGCAGGGAACCAAACCGTCGTCCTCTGCTAGAGCAGCCAGTACTCTTAACCACTGGGCCATCTCTCCAGTCCCTAATTTCATCATTTCTTTATTGATTAGCGTTTTTATTTAAATAGAAGCTTCCCCTCTTCAATCATTTGCATATACTGAGGAACAATTCATATAGAAAAAGCACAATAAGTGTTTGATTCTTTTTATTACCGTTAATCAAAAGTGTTGGTTCTTAGAAATGTAGTCAGCATACAAGAGGTCCTGGATGTCTGTGTTTATTGCAGCACTTTTCATGATAACTAACATACAGACTCAGCCTAGGTACTCATCAACCGATGCATGGATGGATAAAGAAAATACTGTACATATCCAATGCAGTATTATTCAGACTAAAATAAGAATGAAATCCTGTCATTTGCAGCAAAATGGATGAAACTTGTGGGTAACATGTTACACATGTAAAATAAATCAGACAGAAAGTCAAGTATCACATGTTCTCTCTTATGTGCAAACTTTACAAAAAAGACAACCTGAAAGTAGAAAAGGGATTGCTAGGGCCTGGAAGGGGGTCTGGGGAACAGGGCTGCAAAGGTAGAAGCTAGATGGGCACAATTACTGCATGATGGCTACTTGTATAGTGAGACCACCATGGGGCCTGGGGAATGGCTCAGTGGATTTAAGTGCTTGCTCTCAAGCCTGATAATCTGAGGTCTATTCCCAGGATCCTCATGGTGGAAGGAGAAAGCTGACTGCTGCAAGTTGTCATCTGACCACCACACATACACTATGTCATATACATACACATACACACCCCCCCCCACACACACACACTCACACACACACATACACTCAAAATAAGTAACTTTTTTTTTTTGAGTCAGTAACTTTTTTTTTTTGTATCCCTAACTGGCCAGGTACTTGCTCTGTAGAGCAGGCTGGCTTCGACCTTGCAGAGATCCCTTGACACTGCCTCCTGAGTGTTGGTATTAAAGGTGTGTACTACCATGCCTATCAAAATAGACACTTTTTAAAAAATTATTTTTTTATTTTATGTATATGAGTGTATTGCCTGCATGTGTGTTGGTACACCTGTGTCGTGCAGTGCCTGTGGAGGTCAAAAGAGAACATCAGATTCTCCTGGAACTGAAATTACAGATGGTTGTTAGCTGCCATATGGGTGCTGGGACTTGAACTCAGGTCCTCTGCAAGAGCAGCCAGTGCTCTTAACTGCTGAGACATTGCTCCGGCCCCATAAATTCATTTTTTAAAAATATTTTATTTATATTTTTATGTGTATGCGTGTATTGCCTGCATGTAGGTAAGTGCACCTGTGTCATACAATGCCTGGGGAAGACAGAGAGGCTGTCGGATCCCCTGGAACTGGAGTTACAGACAGTTGTTAGCTGCCATATGGGTTCTGGCATTTGAACCTGGGTCTTCTGCAAGAACATCCAGTGTTCTTAACTGCTGAGCCATCTCTCCAGCCCCATAAATTCGTTTTTCAAAATGTTATTTAAAAGATTAAAAAAGGAACTACCATAGTGAATCCGATTAATTTGCACAATTAGTATATGTTAATTAAAATTAAAAGAAACTAGTTCAGTTACTATCCTGTAGCATTTTCTATTTGTTTTTTGTCCAGTAACTATAAATGTCATCCCTTCATCAAACCATTGTATTAATTCTTTTCAGTTTCAGCTGGATGATCCCATGGTTTGTGTATTGATATGTACTTGGAGCTCTTTGATCCCTCTTGGTTAATGCAAAATTTATTCTCATTTTCTAGGTTGACCTAGAAATCAGTGATGTAAAACTTATTTCACAAGAAGCAGACAGCCCTTTAGATAGTGGACAAGGCAGCCTTGAAACAATTGATCCCTTGAGTGAAAGAGGTTTGTATTACTCATTATTTTAATTTTAGGAATAGACTGTGGGATCCTGGATTGTATTTGGTTTGAATTAATCTCATTATTTCTTGATTTATCAAACTGTTAATTCCCTAGCTTTGCTATTTCTTTTTAATTTTTTTTTTTTAGTATTTATTATTTTTATTTTATACATATGAGTGTATTGCCTGCATGTATGTGAATGCATCCGTGCCGTGCAATGCTGTGGAGGTCAAACAAGGGCTTTGGATTCCCCTGGAACTGGAGTTAAGGACAGTTTGTAGCCGCCATTTGGGTGCTGGGAATCAAACCCAGGTCCTCTGCAAGAGCAGTCAGTGCTCTTAACTGCTGAGCCATCTTTCCAGCCCCTTTTAAAATTTTTTAAAAAGATTTATTTAATTATATGTGTATGTCTGTGTGTAGGTATGTCCATGAGTGCAGGTACCCAAGGAGGCAGAAGTAGATGTTTCTTCCTCAGGAGCTGGTGTTACAGGCAGTCACCTGATGTGGGTGCTGGGAACATAACTTGGGTCCTCTGCAGGAACAGTACATACTCCCACTGAGCCATCTCTCTAGCCCCATTATTTCTTTTCTTTATTACAAAAACAAAATAACGATGCTTATACCTTTTTAAAAATAACCATTTCTGTTATATAACGGGGAATAGATAAAATGTCTAATGACTACTACATTGCCTGGTTAAATGCATTCATTTTATAAAAGGATTTTTAACACCTGTCAGAATGATTAGAACAACTTTACACATTGTAAATATATATAATTACATTTCTTAGCAAGAGAGGTTTTGCAATAGAAAATATTTTTTTCAAATATATTTTTAGATATTCTTTTGCTACAATCAGTTCTTAATGGTAGTTATATAATTTCACAAGGTGATACTCAAATATATTTTTGAGTAACAGTGGGACCAGGAAAAAGGCCAAATGATTGGGTACCTTTTAAAAAAAATTGTGCTTCCTCCAGATTCAGATGAAGAGATATTTCTGAGTAAGAAGTTGAAAAGCAGGAAGGTGCTACAGGACAGTGATTCTGAAACAGAGGACAACAATGCCTCTCCAGAGAAAGCCACGCCTGACAGTGCCGAGGAAAATAAAGAGAACTCACATGCTAGGAAGAGTGCAAAAATGAAAAGGGTTTCCAGAACTCTGGCTGACAGTGATGAAAGTAATATGGGAGAATCTTTATGTCAGGAAAATCTTGACCCTCAAGAGACACCTTGCTTCGAGTTGAATCATCCATCTGGAAACTCTGCAGACTTTACCACCATTGACAGAAAGCTTTCCAAGAAATCCACATGCGATGGAGAAGGAGCTGGAGGAAAAGTAAAAGGCAAATCAAAGAGACGACTTGAGAAAGAGGAGAGGAATATGGAAAAAATTAGGCAGCTGAAAAAGAAGGGAACAAAATATGAGGTGCATTAGAATGTTTTTGAGCTTTGTAATATAGTCTTTATCATGATTCTTGTCTAAAATTGACTTTTAGTTCACACGTAATTGTATATACTTATGGGATATAGTAATATTTCAGTGCAGGTCTGCAGTGTGTAAGGATCAGATAAGAGTAATTGGCAAACCTCTCACCTTCAACATTTAGCATTTTAGGGGGTGGGAACATTCCAAATCCTGTCTAGTTATGTTGAACTATTCAGTTAATTATCAACTGTAGCTCTCCTGCTTGCTGTAGATCACTAGGAGTTACTCTAATTGTCTATACTCCGTTAACTGTATCTCCCTACATCCCTTCCAAGGTTCTGGAAACTGCTGTTCTGTTCTCTACTTCTATGAGATCAATTTTTTAAGCTCTACATATAAGTGAACATGTGATACTTCTCTTTCTAGGTCTCACAGAATGTCCTCTAGTTCCATCAAAATTGCTACAAATGACAAAATTTCGTTTTTTAAAAATATTTTGTTTATGGTGTCTTAAGGCAGGAAAATTCCCTCCCTCACTAAATAGCAGGGTTGGGTGTTGTGTATTATGGTTTTTTTGTTATTATTTTATTCTGAAATTAAAAGTATGCAAAATAAAGAAGATACAGTTTAAAAAATATTTTGTTTATTATTTTAATTTTATCTGTATGAGTGTATTGCCTGTATGTACGTGCACTCATGTCATGCAGTGCCCATGGAGGTCAGAAGAGGGCATTAGATCCCCTAGAACTGGAGTTACTAATGGTTGCCAGCCAACTTGTGGGTGCTGGGATTTGAACCTGGGCCTTCTGCAAGAGCAGTTGTTGTTCTTAACCACTGACCCATCTCTCTAGCCCCGGAATTTCATTTTTTTAATTTTAATTTTATTTTAAAAAGTATATTTTAACCAGGCATGGTGGTGCACACCTTTAATCCCAGCACTCAGGAGGCAGAGGCAGGTGGAACTCTGTGAGTTCAAGGCCAGCCTGGTCTATATAGTGAATTCCAGGACAGCTGGGGCTACAGGAAGACCCTGTCTCAAAATGATCATTTTAATTTTAAGTGTCACCTGTGTTGTGCAATGCCCGTGGAGGTCAGAAGAAGATGTCAGATTCCCCTGGAACTGGAGTTATAGATGGTTGTTAGCTGCCATGTGGCTGCTGGGAACTGAACCTGGGTCCTCTGCAAGAGCAGCCAGTGCTCTCAACCACTGAGCCATCTCTCCAACTCCAGAATTTTTTTTTGCGGGGAGGTCTTTTTGAGACAGGGTTCCCCTGTACCCCCAACTGGCCTGGAACTTGCTATGTAGACCAGGCTTGAATCAAACTCAGAGAGATCCACCTGCCTCTGCCTCCCGAGTGCTGGGATTACAGGCATGTGCCAGAATGCCCAGCTCCAGAATTTGTTTTTTTTAATGGATAAACAATATGCCATTGAGTATATATGCAATATTTTCTTTATGTACTCATTGAGATATAATCTAAAGAATTTGTTTTTTCTCAGGTACATTAGAGTTTTAGAAACATGATTTTAGTTCTTGATATTGTTTCTGCACTCAGATTATAACTGACTGCATTGCATAGAGAGTAATGGTTATGCAGTTTGCAGTTTTTGTGGTCTCCTTTGCTATTGTAAATGTGCGGAGGACAAATGAATGGGATTCTGGTTTTCTTGGTGAGTACTGGTAGTAAGTCTTTCGTTCTCATCTAATGAAAATTAACTTTAAAAGGAGAATTTTTTAAATGCATACACCAATTAAAAGTTTAAATCACCTGCAAATTTATTAAGTAGTTGCTCAATAAGTATTTAGTCACTTTTCAAGAAATATTTACTGTTCACTAAGTAAATTTCAGATTGGTGCATAAAAATTACAGCTTAGACTTCAAAGGATAACTGGGTTAGGAACCAGTGAGAATGTTCTAGGTACTGTATATTTGCCTGTTGATGAAAGATGGGCTTTTTGTTACCTAATCCAAATTCCCAAATAATGCTGTGAAATGCTAGACTTTAAAGTGATTAGATTATGTTTTTTCTTTATGTATTATCCAGGAAAGTGATATAGACCAGCAATTTAATGACAGTGGCTGTCTTCTTGCGGATAATGATCTTTTTGAAACGGGTTTGGAGGAAGAAAATAACTCTCCATTGGAAGATGAAGAGTCATTAGAATCAATAAGGGCAGCTGTGAAAAACAAAGTAAAAAATCACAAGGCAAGTAAAAAATGATACAGCAAGACCTAACCAGCTGCTTCTGACCTTTGTTTCTTGATGTACTCTCACTATGTAGGCCTGGCTGTTCTGAAACTTAGTATGTAGCCCAGGCTGGCCTCGAATTCACAGAGCTCCATCTACCTCTACCTCCTGAGTGCTAGGGTTAAAGATGTCTACCACCATACCTGGCCTTTATTTCTTTTTATTTGTTTATTTATTTATTTATACAGAAATACATTTTATTATCAAGCTTCTTTGAGAATATTTACAAAAAGTGGGATGTAACAAAATATAAAAATGTACTGAGCAGTGTTATAGACTACTTTGAAAATTATCAAATGTTTCTAAAAAACAGTTTCTTACACAAACACAACTTGGCTTTAAGACAAAGATGAAAGGTTATACAGGCTATACAGTGTGGAGTAATTACTTGACTCCAAATTAATCTGACAGTGCCTTTGCAATTTTTAACTTTTTAGAAAACATAGGCATTCAACAAAACTAAAGAGTGCAATTAATTTCATGGCTTGAGAAGTTTGATTATAGAAGTGTGGCAAATGAACCATCATTCCAGTTAATTTTCACCTTATGCAGTAAAACCATTGTAGGCCACCTACTGACTCAAAATTACTCTGTCTTGTGCACACTGATAAAACAAGACTTTGGAGAAATGTAGGGAAATTATCATCTACCATGGAAAAAAATCCATTTATAAAAAGGTTTTGTAAAATTATTCTTCACAACTTCTGTATGAGAAAAAAATTACTGAGAAATGTGGAATGTTTCCTGGAGATACTTATGGAGACATAGAATGGCATTAGTGGCCAGGATGGTTAAGAGACTCTGGGGGCATGTGCCTGGGTTCAAGCCCATATGCTAAGTATATGAACTTCAACAGCTAACCTTGTACCTCAGTTTTCTTAAATGTACTTAACCATGTGACTGTTATGAAGATAATTTAAAACATAAGAACTCACAACACAGAGGGACTACATGTTTCTATTCTGTCAAGGATATTATAAGTCTTAGGAAAGCAGCTGCAGGATGTATCTGTGAATGTCTTCAGTCTGTCCATATCCAAACCCTTTTTTTCCTTTGTTACCTCAAATTCAGTGGCCAACACTTTTATGCTTTTCAGAAGATCAAAAACATTCATACATACCTGTCTTCAGGACCACACTGTGAGGAAAGTAGAAGTAAGAATTGTGATCTTCATTTTACAGGCTGAGCAACTAAATACTAGGACAAACTGTTATGTTCCAAGATCTAAAAAATAATGGAGCCAAGACTTAAATTCAGATTTTCTAACTCCAAATTTTTCTTCTTAGTGCAGAGAAGGAACAAAACAAAACTCTTGTTCATGTGATTAGTGAAGAAACAAAAAGCTACTATTTCTTATAAGAGGATGGTCTCAGATCCTGGATAAAATACAGATTGAATGCTTGTTTATTTATGTATATAACTTTATGTATATGAGTGTTTTGCCTGCATGTAAGTGCACCTGTGTCATGAAATGCCCACAGAGGCCAGAAGAGAGCATGTATCCCCTGGAACTAGAGTTACAAACTTTTTGTGGGTGCTGGGAACAAAACCTAGGTCCTCTGCAAAAGCAGCCAGTGCTCTTAACCACTGGGCCATTTCTCCACCCCCTTAATTTCTTTTTAATTGAGCATGTGTTGATTGATTTAAACTTTTTAGCTATTAATTTTCAAAATTTGCAGTATAAGTAATAGACATGCTAAATTGATTGGAAACTAATACTTTATTGTTGCCTTTTTAGGAATTTTTTTTGGTGGGTACACATTTTATAATCCTGTGACTTCTGAGAAATGGATTCTATAGGGCTTCAAGAAGTGTTAAAGAGGGGCAATGACTTGGGATGTAGATCAATGTAGAGTGTCTAGCATATGGTACTGGGGGTTGAACCTAGGGCCTCAAGCATGTGAGGCAAGTGCTCTGCCCATTGAGCTATATCTGCAGCTTTATTGCTCCATTGTTTCTAGTAGTGCTATCCCACATAAAACTTTATAAGATTTTCATTAAGAGATGGGGATTATAAATCAATGGTAAAGTACTTGCCTAGCATGTACTAGGTATGTACATGCCTAGCCCTGGGTTTAATCTCTAGCATCATAAAACTAAAAAGACAAAGAGAGCTCATTTAACAAGGGGAAGAAAAGAAAGGAGGTGTATACTGCTTAAGATCCAGCACTTGGGAGGCTGAAGCAGGAGGAGCCTGTGAGATTAAACATAGCTTGGGCTACAGTGAGACTCTTATCTCAAAAAATGAAAACCAGGGCTGTGGAGATGACTGAGCATGGGCATTTGCTGCTCAAGCATGAGGCCTGAGTTCAAATCTCCAGAACCCATGTAAAAAAGCCAGGTATGGTCATGAACCGTAACCCTCTGTACTGTGGGGAATGGAGACAAGAGAGTTGCTGGGACTTGCTGATCAATAATTTAGCCCCAGAGTCAGTGAAAGATCCCGTCTCAAGGAAATATGGTAGAGGGTAATAGAGCAGGACACCTTTTGTCCTTGTCTAATCTCTGTGTGCACACAGGTACACTTGCATATACATCACACAGAAAAGAGGGCTGCAGTAATCACTCAGTGGTTAAGAGTGGTTACTGCTGTATTGGAGTTCAAATTTTGGTATCCACATTAGGAATCTCACAAGAATCTGTAACTTCAGCTCCACATTATCTTCTTATATACACTCATACAGACACATATAAATAAAATATTTTTTACATTTTTAATTTTTTTAAATATTTTATTTATTATTTTTATTTTATGTGTATGCATGTATTGCCTGCATGTAGGGAAGTGCACTCGTGCCGTGCAATGCCTGAGGCGGACAGAAGAGGCTGTTGGATCCCCTGGAACTGGAGTTACGGACAGTTGTTAGCTGCCATGTGGGTGCTGGGATTCAAACCCAGGTCTTCTGCAAGAACATTCAGTGTTCTTAATCGCTGAGCCATCTCTCTGCCCCCCCCCTTTTTTTTTCAGTTTTTTTAAATTTTATGTGTATGAGTGTTATGCGTGCAGGTAGGTAAGTGCACCCATGTCGTGCAGTGCCTGCGGAGGACAGAAGAGGCTGTTGGATCCCCTGGAACTGGAGTTAACAAACAGTTGTTAGCTGCCATGTGCATGGCTGGGATTTGAACCCAGGTCTTCTGCAAGAACAGTCAATGTTCTTAACTGCTGAGCCATATCTCCAGCCCCTAAAATTTTAAAATTTTATATGTATGAGTGTTTTGCCTGCATTTAAGCACATTATATGAATGCAACGATCATGGAGGCCAGAAGAGGGCATTGAATCCTCTGGAACTGGATTTACAGATGGTTGTTAGCCACCGTGTAGATGCTAGAAACCTATCCCCAGTCCTCTGCAAGAACAGTCAGTGTACTTAACTGGTCATGGTGGAAGGGTTAAACAATGCAAGAGATAAATAATGCCTAGCTAGTTTTTAAAAACCAGAGCATGCTGGGCATGGTGGTGCATGCCTATAGTCCCAGCACTTGGGAGACAGAGGCAGGTGGATCTCTGTGAGTTCGAGGCCAACCTGATCTACATAGTTCCAGGACAGCTCGGGCTACAGGGAGACCCTGTCTCAAAAAGACCCCCAAAAAAAAGATACTCAAAAAAGAGGAATTTTCTTTAGTTCCCTGGAAGTCATTGTTCTTTCTTAGGAAATATGTAAACAGAAATGAGGGTCCAAATTCTGTTTGTATCTGATGTTTTTCTAAGCATAGTGGGATGCTGTGTTTTTAAATTTCCCTATTTGATAATTAATTTATTAGTGAAGTAGTATGATGTAGTAAGAAACATCCTTTTGCCAGCCCTGGTAGTCGAAGCTTATAATTCCAACTACCTATGAGATAAGCAGGAAGATCCCAAGTTCAAGGCCAGCCTGGGAAACTTAGTGAGACTGTGTCTCAAAATAAAAACTCAAAAGAAGGGCAGGGGATGTAGCTCGGTGATAGAATGCTTGCCTAGCATGCCCCAGACCCCGGATTCAGTCCCAGGCACCATCAAAAAAGAAACATCTTTTTATTTGAGTTTTGGTCCTCATAATTGAGTTATAATTTCTTTTAGAAAAAGGAACCATTTTTGGAGAGTGGGACCTTTTCATTTGAAGAAGAAAATGAGTTATGCAAAGGCACTGGGAGGAAGGTAAGATAGAGCCCTATCAAGATTCATACTGATTTCTTTTCATAAGAGATTGTGGGTTTCATTTTTTTTAATATTATATGTTTTATTTTATGTGTGTGAGTGCATTGCCTGAATGTATGTAAGTGCACCCGTGTTATCAGTGTCCTTGGAGGCAAGAAGATGGCATCAGATTCCCTGGAACTGGAGTTATGGATGGTTATTAGCTGCCATGTGGGTGCTGGGAACTAAACCTGCATCCTCTGCAAGACCAAGCAGTGCTCTTACCCCCTGAGCCTTGTCTTCAGCCCTAGATTGTGGGTTTCTTACAGATAAATATTTTATTTATCCAATTTCCCTGGTACAAGATATTTCTTAGCCAGGCATGGTGGCACGCACCTTTAACCCCAGCACTCGGGAGGCAGAGGCAGGCAGATCTCGTTGAGTTCAAGGCCAGCCTGGTCTGCATAGTGAATTCTATGCCACATGGGGCTCCAGAGAGACCCTGTCTCAAAAAGACCAAAAAAAAAAAGGACATTTCTTTATAGGAACACAAATGTGATTGGATTAAGTTAATTTGCTGAGACTTGCCAATGAATGGGCTTGTACTTGAGCTGAGTTTACTTATGCCTACTCGTCCTTCTTTTCCTCTTTTCTTGGAAAGACTAACTCTTCAGGGATAAATATCTTTCTAGATAATACTGTTAATAAAAATTCATCTTTTGTTTTCTTTAAGGAAAGAAAAGCAGCAAAGTTAAGCAAGGAAGCATTAAAAAAACTGCACAGTGAGACTCAGAGACTTATCCGAGGTAATACAAACGAGGATAGTAAACTTTGAAGCAAATCACAGTGTTTTTTTGTTTTTTTTTTTTAACACTGTTGTTTTCACAATGGCTTTTGTTGTAAGCTCAGCTTGGATGTTGGGGAGTTTTAGTTTTCTAACACTCCTAATGTGAATTCACATTGTGATATGAAATTTAGAATGGATCATTATAAATGTCCATGTCCATTCTTCTCAGACCCTTGGACCCTTGGTAGCAACAGAAAATTTCCAGAACAATAGTGGACCTGAATGGAAAAATAAGTTCTTTAGGGATTTATTTTTATTATTATTTTCTAAAAATATTTTATTTTCATTTTATGTGTATGCGAGTATTGCCTGCATGTAGGTAAGTGCACCCGCATTGTGCAATGCCTGCAGAAGACAGAAGAGGCTGTCAATCCCCTGGAACTGGAGTTATGGACAATTGTTAGCTGCCATGTGGGTGCTGGGATTCGAACCCAGGTCTTCTGCGAGAACAGTGTTCTTAACCACTGAGCCATCTCTCCAGCCCCTATTATTTTTTTTTAATTGTGTGTATGTGTGTGTAGGGGTATGTGCATGTGAGTGCTGTTGCTCACATTCCAGAATAGGCACTGGATCCTCAGGAGCTGGAGTTAAAAGTAGTTGTGAGCCACCTAATGTGGGTGCTGGAAATTGAACTTTTATCTTCTTCAAGAGCAGCAGGAGCTTTTATCCTCTGAGCCATCTCTTTAGCCCCCGAAGGAGGAACTTTTAGTTGATTGTCTATGGGCTAATTGCATTGGATCCCTTTAGGAAGTTTTCAAATATATCAAATTTTAGGCCCCACAAAACTTAATTAGGTTTGAAATGGGATCCAAGAATATGTATTTGTTAAAAACATTCTGGTTTATTTTGATTTCACAACTAGCTTTATTTTTTTTTTAAATCTTATTATTTTTATTTTACGTGTATGAGTATGTTGCCTGCGTGTATGTGAGTGTACCTGTGTCATGCAATGCATCAGAAGAGGGCTTCAGATTCCCCTGGAACTGGAGTTAAGGACAGTTTGTAGCCGTCATGCGGGTGCTGGGAATCGAACCTGGGTCCTCTGCAAGAGCAGTCAGTGCTCTTAACCACTGAGCCATCTCTCCAGCCCTTCACAACTAGCTTTAAAAGCCACTGGTTTTGCTTGACATGAGGTCTAAGTCCCTCAGGAGTTTGAGGCTGGAGAATTGAAAGTTTGACGTCAACCTGGGCTACACAGCAAGACCCTGTTTCAAAACAAACAAAAAACCAGTGGTTTTCAAGGAGCTTCCTTTATTTTGTTCTTGTGGGATTATTTTCTCTTTCTGGTGATAGCTTGGTTTTATACTATTTGGTTAATTGAATATGAAGTGACATTTCAGAATATACAGTGAATATTTGCTTATTTTGTTCCTTTTTTTTAGAATCTGCACTTAATCTTCCTTATCATATGCCTGAGAATAAAACCATTCATGATTTCTTCAAACGTAAACCCCGGCCCACTTGCCAGGGAAGTGCCATGGCTCTGCTGAAGTAAGCACCTCTTTCCTTGTGATTATAATCTTTGTGAATATTCAGTTTTGTAACAAGCATCTGGTGTAAAAGTTCAAATTCCTTAGTTCCTTGACACTGATTTAACTGATTCATTGTATGTTAAGAGATGAACGTGTTCCACATTTAGGAGAATTTCAATTACAGCAATTTTCCCTTTTCTAGGTCGTCTAAGTATCAGCCAAGTCATTACAAGGAAACCATAAACACTGCAAATGCAACTGAGATCAGTGTTGGTGACTGCAGCAAAGGCCCTGAGCTGACAACGGGTGCAGAGCGGGAAAGAGAAATTCATGTTCTCCCTGAGGTTTCAAAAGAAGCTCAGCTCGCTGCTGCATCGGATGAGGTTTGCAGGGAGGATCTGTTGAGTGTAGAGCTGGAAATTCAGGAGAATCAGAAGCACAGTGATGACAAACGTCCTGGGGACAGGTCAGTGTCACAGCAGGAACCCATGGTCTTCAAGACCCAGGCCACTGAGGAGCATCAGGTTGGAGAGCTCATGTCATCTGGCCTTCCTGCTCTGGACGGAGAAGACATGAAAAAACCAGAAGAAACAGATGAGAAAGTGGAAGAACCCGTGCAGGAAACAAAATTATCAGCACTTGGGCCTCCCGAGAAAGCAAGAAGATTCACTGTGGATCGACTTAAGCAGCTGGGAGTGGATGTCTCCATTAAACCTCGGCTGGGCGCTGATGAAGATTCCTTTGTGATACTTGATGAACCTGAAACCAACAGAGGTAATAATTTACATACATTGTGGGGAGTCTCCCCAGGGTGTTTTGTACTGGCAACTTTTGACTGTTGGTTACTATGGAAGATGGGGAACATGGGAGAAGCCAGTAATCACACATGATTTTATTCTGCAAGTGTACCAGATACAGGCAGAATTCCATTTAGATGGATTTAGCAGGATATCAGCATGGTCTAGATCTTTTTTAAAATGAAGCTGGTGATAGTTAATATACAAAGGAGGCATGCTGTTGTTAAGTTATGGTATTTAAGAATTTATTTCTCCTGGGGCTGGAGAGATGGCTTAGCGGTTAAGAACACTGACTGTTCTTGCGGAAGACCCGGGTTCGAATCCCAGCACCCACATGGCAGCTAACAGCTGTCCATAACTCCAGTTCCAGGGAATACAACAGCTTCTGTCTTCTGTGGGCATTGCACGACATGGGTGCACTTACCTACAAACAGGCAATACACGCATACACATGAAATAAAAATAATAAATATTTAAAAAAAAGAGTTTATTTCTCTGGGGCTGGAGAGATGGCTCAGTGGTTAAGAGCACTGGCTGTTCTTGCAGAGGACCCAGGTTCTAACAACCATCCATAATTCCAATTCCAGGGGACACCTTTACATGACTCAGGTATACTTATATACATGTAGGAAATATACACATAAAAATAATAAATAATTTTTTTTAAAGTATTCTTTTCTCAAAGAAATATTTAGAATAAAGAGTTAGAGGAGTTTAGAGAAAGGATGAGTTTGCAATGGGTGGTTAAAGGAAGGCTTGAAGAATGGCTATAATTACTTGCTCCCAGCCTTTCCCTTTATCCTATGAGTTAGGATCTCCTGCCTTGTACACCCTCCTCTATCTCTAGTGCTTCATCAGTGGGTGGCACATTGAGGCATTTGTACTTATTGAATATTTGATTCAACACTATTGTTGGCAAGTACTTACATCATCCCCTATGTCTGGTGTGTAAAATCCACTTGATGGGACTTTGTTGGTTGGGTGGAGGTAAAGAGAAGGATATTCTAAAGGTTTTTGTTTTATTTTTGGTTTGGAGTTTTTGTTGTTTGAGTCAGGGTCTCATTCTATAGCTTTGGCTGTCGTGTAACTATGATCAAGCTGGCCTCAAACTTGTAGCCGACCTCCCTCTGCTTCCAAGTACTGAACGTACAGGTGTGCACCAACTGATGGAGAAGGACATTTCTTAAAAAGACAGGAAAACTTATGCATGGTGCATATTGGGAGAAGATGGAAGTTAGATCAGAACCAGAGGTACAGTAGAGGAGTTATACAGCACAAAGAGCTAGCTCCATTGGCAGAGGAGGTAAGAAGGAGCTGCGCCCATAATACTGAGGGAGCATTGAGTTCAACAGTACTAGAAGTTACCTAGGTAGTCCCCAGCTAAAGTGTGGGGAGGAAACCTGTGGAGTACCTCCTATATAAGATACTGATAGATTATTTTTTTTTCAGGATTTTCTTTTTTTTTTTTTTAATGTGTATGTGTGTCTTTTTGAGACAGGGTCTCCGTGTAGGGCCCAGCTGACCTGGTACTCACTATTGTAGATCAGCCTGGCCTCTGCCTCCTGAGATCCTTCTGCCTCTGCCTCCTGAGTGCTGGGATTAAAGGCATGCACACCACCACCCCCCGCCTCCCCTCGGCTCATGTATGTGTCTCTTTGTGTATGTTATGTGTGTATAGGTAACTGCAGAAGCCAACAGTGGGTGTCAAATACCCTGGAGCTGGGTTACAAGTGGTTGTGAACCACCAGGTCTGAGTGCTAGGAAACAAACTTGGATCCTCTGGAAGAACAAACAACTGCCTTAACCGCAGAGCCATCTCTCCAACCCCTCAGTTATCTTTCTTCATTCTTGTAGCATTGAATATTACTTTGTAAAATGAAAAAACTGAAGCTCAGAGGAGGTGGATAATTTTTCCAACATTACACTTGGTTTATATAGGACCTAGCATAGTGCCTGCCACATAATGCATATGTGCTTTTAACTCAAAACATGTTTTCCTTTAGAAATAATTGATAGATTTCTAGACCAGCCCTTTTCATGATAGTCTGTACATGAAGTTGGAGTCAGCATTCATCCATTCATTCATGGAATAAATTTTGATTTAGCACTTTGTTAGGTACTATGTGTACAAGTAAGACACAATCCCTATTCTCAAGGAAATTAAAATAGAACAGACTGGGTAAGCAAACAGATCATTACCATCCTGGATGGTAAGTACATCTGTCAAGGTATGTCCTTGGGGAAGATGCTAGGAAGCCTAGAGAAGAGGCAACTTACTTGGATTGGAGATCTGGGGAAGCTTCTGAAAAAAGCAGTCTTAAAAGCTAAGGAGGAGTTGCCCAGGCTGGGAGGCAAAAGAGGGTTTTTCTGGTGCAAAAGACATGATGGAAAGCACCAGGAGTTTCTGGCTGGTAGAAGTAAAGATTGTAAGAAGATTGATGAAAATCACCTAGATCATGCAGGGCTTGCAGGCCGTGTTAGAGCTTGGAGTTAGTCCTTTCTAGTGGAGGACCATGGAAAAGGTTTTTGCAGGGGAAGTGGCCAGATACTCATTTTAGGAAGTTCAAGCTGATGACTTGCATAATGGATACCTTGAAAATGTTTAAGATTAAAATTGGAGAACCGGGTGTGGTATCATGTGCCTGTAATCCCAGCCCTTGGGAGGCTGAGGCAGGAGGAATACTGAAAGTTTGAGGCCACTCTGGGCTGCATGGCAAATACCAGGCCAGAAAGAACTATATAATAAGACCCTGTTTAAAAAGGAAAAAAAGGGCCAGGCGTGGTGGCACATGCCTTTAATCCCAGCACTTGGGAGGCAGAGGATCAACAATATTCTGTACACAGTGCTGAAGGGTGTCTTGCAAATAGCCATCTCAACAATGCTGGAACTGTGCAAAAACTGAAAGCAAAGAGAAAGTAGTATAGCGATGAGAGCCTTCCCTACAAAGAGGCTGTATCCATCACTGAGTCAAGGTAGTAGAAGAAAAAGTGGAGGTAGAGCTATAAAGTGAGTGAGAGGACTAACAGAAGGCCAGGAGGAGCACAGTGGGGAGTCATTGCAGGAAGTGGACAGTTACTGGAAAGGTGATTTAGTTGTGGAAAGAAAGGGCTTATGGTCAGATTTTGAGGAAGAGGCACAGAATGAAAGTCCTCTGAAGAATCTCAACTCCATCAGATGCCCAATGACAGTTCTTTAAAAAAAAAAAGTCAGCAGGGGCTGGGCATAGTGGCACACGCCTTTAGTCCCAGCACTTGGGAGGCAGACACAGGCGGATCTTTGTGAGTTCAAGGCCAGCGTGATCTACATAGTGAGTTCCAGGACAGCTGGGGCTACAAGGAGACCCTGTCTCAAAAAGACAAAACAAAAAAAACCAAAAAAAAACAAAGAGTAAGAACAGTGAGGATATCTCTTTATCTCATAAAGTAAGATTTCTGTGAGAAAAATGAATGTAGATTTAAACTTTGTGATGCCGGAAACACACTGTTCCTACTCTTCATAGTGGCGCAGGATAGTGAGCACAGTGGTCCTGAGCTACTGGTACAGACCTGAGCAGGGGTAGAGGTTTTTCACTTAGAGAACAGATGAGAGGTGCTAGGAAAAGACTGATGGAGGAGTGGAAAGTGGTGGTTGAGGCATGAAATGGACACATGAAATGCGCCTCTTGACTGGAGGATGAAGACTGAGGGTCTTCTGTCTATGAACGAATGTTACTTCCTCACTATTAGTTTAGGTCCTTAGTAAAATCTTCCTACTCAACTGGTTCTTTATTAGTGTCAATAATTATCTGCCTATTTCTGTTCCTTTTCCACTGATACCACCTGTTGCTTCCAACTTTGCCGAAACACTATAAATAGGAGGCAGACTTAAGGCTTCTTTCCCTGTTCTTTTGTTTTGCAATACAGATGTGTAAAATGTTTTGGTTTTGCTGCTAATAATTGCTAGAGACATGACAAAAAGATTTCCATTTAGTTCATCTCTAATATGATCCTCTAGGGAGAGAAAAGAAAACACATGCAGGTGCTAATCATAGTACTAAGAATGTGCAATGTGATTTAAAAATTAACCCTTGGCTGGTGTGGTGGTCCACACCTGTAATTCCAGCACTTGAGAAGTGGAGACAGAAAGATCAGTAATTTAAGACAAGCCTGGGCCACATAGTGAATTCAAAGCTAGCTTGAGCTACATAAGACTATCTTTAAAAAACAAACAAAAAGTTGAAAACTTATGAAAAATTAAGCTTTTTAAAAACCATATTTAAAAAAAAATTTTTTTGTCAGCACTTGGGAGGTGGAGGCAGACAGATCTCTGTGAGACCAAGGCCAGTCTGGTCTATATAGCAAAGTCCAAACCAACTGTGGCTACAGGGAGACCCTGTCTTAGAAAGAAACCCCCCCCAAATGTATTTGTATGTATATGTGTCAGTGTGACTATATGCTACATGTTTGCAGGAGCCCACAAAGGCCTGAGAGAGAGTATAGGATCTGGAACTGGAGTTATAGATGGTTGTGAGCCACTCTGTGTGGGTATTGGGAACCAAACTCAAGTTCTCTGGAAAGGCAGCAAATGTTCTTCTTATCTGTTGAGCCTTCTCTGCAGCACCCCCAAATTAAGCTTTTCTAAAAATAAAATTTATTTTATATATATGAGTGTATTGCCTACATGTGTGTAAGTGCACCTGTGTCATGCAGTGCCCACGGAGGTCAGAAGAGGGTATTGGATCCCCTGGAATGGAGTTATGGATGGTTGTTAGCCGGTGTTGGGAATCAAACCCAGGTCCTCTGTGAGAGCAGCCAGTGCTCTTAATAGCTGAGCCAACTCTCCAGCCCCAAACAATCGCTCTTCCAGAGATGGTACCTTAACAGAAGGTTTTGCACAAGCAACCATAGATGTGTGTACAAAAATGACTACTGCCAGGCATAATTACCTGGTGGGCTCTAACCACCAACCTTTTGGTTAACAGCTGAGTGCTGGGGCTAAAGGTGTGCACCACTGTGCCCAGCCAGTGTAAATTTCTTAAACATCTGATTTGGGGGCTGACTAGATAGCTCAGCCAGTAAAGGCATTTGCTACCAAAATAATGGCTTGAGTTTGATCCTTGGGAACTACATGGTAGAAAAGAGAAGACTGGCTTCTGAAAATTGTCCTCTGACCTCGGAGCATGCTGTGACACACATGTGTATATACACACACACACACACACACACACACACACACATACCCATACACACAGAGACTCAAATAAATTAATAAATGTACTAACAAATTAATAAATGTAATAAAAAAATTTTTTTTTGTCTTTTTGAGACAGGGTCTCCCTGTAGCCCCAGCTGTCCTGGAACTTACTATGTAGACCAGGCTGGCCTCAAACTCACAAAGATCCTCCTGCCTCTGCCTTCCAAGTGCTGGAATTAAAGGTATGCACCACCACACCTGGCATAAAAATTGTTTTTAAAAGTATGATTTTAAAACGTAGAGGAAGAACAGTTGTAGTCCGTTAGTTTGGGTTAAGTTGCATGAATTTGATTGCAGATGTTAGTAGTAGAGGGGTTTTTGGTTTCTCTTTTTTCCCTTAACACTGTTGAGCTAGAAAACTTACATTTCTTAACTGGAATCTTTAAGGAAAGGGTGTGAGCATGGAAACTGACAAACTGTTTGGCATTTGGGTTTAGAATTGGAAGCCTTGAAGCAGCGTTTCTGGAAACATGCTAATCCAGCAGCCAAACCCAGGACTGCTCAAACGGTGAATGTGAACATCATAGTGAAGGACTTGGGCACTGATGGAAAAGAGGAGCTAAAGGCAGATGTGGTATCTGTGACTTTGGCAGCCGAGAAGCTGGATGGAACAAGCCACACAAAACCAGGTATTCGTCTTTATGGCCATTAAAGACCCTGTGATAGAAAGTTATAAAATCCTTTTCCTTGAAGACATGAGATTGGACAATACTATCTCCATGATTCCAGTGTGGCACACTTGAAGTTGCAGGGTGGGCATGATAGCTTTATTTTTTTTAATCTTTATTTTTTTTAATTTTTAATAACTACGTGATTAGAAGAAGCATTTCATTACAGCTTTTTTCAGTAACACACTCCAGAGCAAGAGTATATCTCTTTCACAAATGGCTGTAAGTTTCTAGGTTCACAGTTGAATTAATACAGTTATACAATATTGAACTCAGTATAAGCCCTGTAAGACATAAAATTGAATGAGTTCTTAACCTTTAAAAAAGATCTCCATTTCATTTTAGAATATATTGTTCCTTGCAGAAAGACTCATTGTTTTTGCTACTAACACTGAGATGTTGGTACATGCATCTCTAATCTGTATGTATCTGATTATTACTAGTCATAATCGGTTGAACTTGGATTCCTGGTGCCTGTGTATGTATATACAGTCATTGGGTAGATTTCAGTGGTAATGTTTATCACCTCTACTAATTAGCATGACGTAAATTTCCATGCTTCCTCCTCAAATATAATACATTTTTAAAAAATTGTTAATTTTGTGTGTGTGTGTATCACACAACATCCCAAACCCTCTTATTCAACTGTACACCCACTTCCTAGATGGCACCTCCCATAGCCTCCCTCCCCCCACTAGAGCCCTTATACTCTGATATCCCTGCTACTGTCTGCTGTGTTGTTGGCATCCCCAGCTGTTCCCCACTACTTGTCCATCTGGTGAATCTAGTCAGCCTATCTAGGGGTCTTTGTTTTAGAAAGGTCAGCTGTTCCTCATCTAGCAGCAATCAGCTATGAATATTCCTTAGATACGATTGGGATCTGCTGTTCATTTTCCCAGTTCTATGCTGGGTTACTGTCTGGGAGTCCCTTTGGCCACCCTGGCCAACAACTCAAAAGAAGGTATCTCCTGTCTGGCATTGTTGCTTGTTATGTAGCCTTTAGCTATACATATGGACTCTTAAAAAAACATTACCATTGAAAT